AATTGTTGTTAATATTTGAATACATTAGTCATTGATATAAATTACATTTAGTACARTTTTATTATGGAAATAGAATTATAAAAATGATTCAGAGATGAAAAAATATTTCCCATAAAAATAGCCTTAAGTTAGAATAACATAACAAATTTATATATCACACTGGGAGATTGTAAATTCCGTCCGAAATGAACAGGTAAAAAAAAATGGATTTGAAAATTTCCGCCCGGAAAATAAACACTAAGCGTTCAGTGCGACTGTATGACGAGACTGTACTGTTCGCGACGCAGCGTTTTAATAATATTTGGAAGTTCCAAATTTTCGAACAAGGAACAATCGTATCAAACGACAATCGTCAATCATGGTCTAATCTTAGCAGTTATCACCTTTGAATACAATGTTGTGGACCTAATATTTGGAAATATCAGATAGAAATAATATTACTAATTGTTTGAATCACTTGAGTTTAGTTAAGAATTATGTGGTGTTTAAATGTTCATTGAAAATTGTTCAATACACGTCCTTTAATCTCATACGCATTACATTCCCATAATGGCAGCTCAATTTATGGAATCAGAACGTAGAAATCCTCTTTTAGTGTTACGACAGTTTTAAATTTTCTAGAGTAAATAGGCCTTCAGCTTCTGGGTTAACAAAATGGTGATGTGTAATTAAAACTTGCAATGCTTTTGTAAAAACTTTTGGTGAAACTACAACTATCGCTGAACAACATGTCGATCATAGTCATACTACAAATATAAATAGATAACATACCAAATTTTACGCTCAGCAAATAATGTTTAGCTCCGTTAGTTTAAAATTTAGAGTGAATTAACTTCTTATAAAAATTAAAGGTAACATTATTATAAAGTGCTTCTCATTGGCTTTTTATTACATTTTAATTTTAAAGCAAGTTAAAGTTTTAAGTGAGTATTTTAAGATATACAAATAATTTACAATTTTAAAATACTCATTACTTGCTTTAAAATTAAAATATAATAAAAAGCCTATGAGAAGCCCTTTATAATAATGTTATCTTTAATTTTTATAAGAAGTCAACTCGCTCTAAATTTTAAACTAACAGAGCTAAGCATTATTTGCTGAGCGTGAAATTTGCTATGTTACGTACTTGTAAGACAGAGACAACACATGCGGGTGTAGCGTTCTCTTAATCATTATTCAGATGCTCGGAATATTGGTACGCTCCATAGAATTTATAACAAAAGAAATCAAAAACGCGGAATACTGGTACTCTTCAAAAYTTAATTTTCAGGGGTCCTAAAATATTTACAAATGTACAATGTTTGTTCATAGTTTTGATAGATTACCATTACCATCGTAAACAAGTAAAATTTAAATAATACGTTGAAAACAAAAAAATAATGTTAGAAATAAAAATGAA